GTGGTTCAGAGTGATCTTGCAGTCTAGCTCATTAACCCACGATGCTACAGCAGGTCATTAGTTGATGTCAGACTCAGGAAGTTCGTACCAGTCTCTATAGGAACATGGCTTTAGGGCTTCCTTCAGAGAAGGATGGATGCATCTCCATCAGTCATGGAGCGAGTAAAATTGCTGCTCAGAACACTTCCCCGTCGACTTGCTTGTGATTCTGGTGGCGAGAGATTGACATGGACCGAACAGCCACAAAGAACAGCCAGGTACTTCCTGTACAGGTAGTACAGGTATTTTCTGAACTTCTCTCCAGCAAATGCATAGATCAGTGGATTTAGGCAACAGTGGCTAAATGCAATAGTCTCTGTCACGCTGAGGGCCAGCCTCAGGTCCTTCTTTATGTCACAGCTGGAAAAGAAGTGGTAGAAATTGAGGGTCTCCAGGAAAATCAAAACATTATAGGGTGTCCAGAAGAGGAAAAACACAGTCACCACTAGGAAGATCAGCTTAATGGCTTTTGCTTTCTTGTGGTTCTTGCAGGAAAACAGCGTGCAGAGGATTCTGAAATAGCAATAACTCATAATAAGCAGGGGAAGCAGGAAGCCGAAAAGACTGGCTTCCACGTTGCGGAGCACGGGCCAGATTTCCTGGAGGACCTCAGGGTAGTCACCAAGGCATTCGCCATCTTGCTGCTTTGTGAACATGAACTGGGGTGCTGCCACCAGGATAGCTGCTCCCCAAACACTGAGGCTGATGATGACGCCGTGCTGCACAGTCCGATTATTGATGGAGTGGGCAGCAAGTACGATGGCTAGGTACCTATCAATGCTGATGATGGTGATGAAGAATATGCTCCCAAAAAAGCCAATGAAGAAGAAGGCAGTAACAAGTTTGCACACGGCATTGTTGAAGCCTTGGTCATATATCACATAGTGAATCCAGAAAGGCAAGGTGGCTACAAAGAGCAGGTCGGACAGGGCCAGGTTCAGTAGATATATGTCCGTGATGCTCTTGGGTTTCCGGCTGGTGGTAAGGGAAAACACCACCAGCAAATTCCCCACCAAGCCAAGGGCAAAGATAAACGAGTAGAATATGGGCAGGAAGACACCCCCAAAGTCCACGATGTGTCCTTCAATACAGCCTTCGGCAGCCACATCATATTCGAAGTTATCCGAAGTTGGTTCAGCGGAGGGGATGGACATGGTGAGAACCTGGAGTAGAAAAGGTAAACCAGTTGCAGTATTAGTTCCCAGAGGGACACTTGTGGAGGTCAGTCTGGACCCATACACATAGGCAGGTGGAGAGACAGAAGCACTGATTGCGTATGAGACACTGCTAACCTAAGGTTGGCTGTTTGAACCCTTCCCATGGTACTGAGGAAGAAAGGCCTGGCAACCTACTTCCTTTAAGATTACAGCCAAGAAATCTCATAGGTGACGTGGGGTCACCATGAGTTGAAATCGCCTTGATGGCAACTAACAATAACAAGAACCCAACCAATACTTTTCCTGAGTTTTTGTTTAACCCCCACAAGTGTTTTATGATGACGGCTCTAACAGACTCAGGGAGAAACCAGGTCTCTGAAAGGTTCAGTTGGTATTATGAATCTAAGGCCTTTTGAAACTTGATTGGTATCTTTTCATTTATTTTTTAATTTGACTTTAAAACTGTCTTCCTGAGAAGATAAGAAGGGTAGAAACAGGGAAGCTAGATTAACGGAAACAGAATGACCAGAATAGGAATAATGCAAATGCTGACTCATTGTGTGAAACAATGTCATGGAACAATATGCATGTTGTCGTTGTTGTGAAGTACTGTGGAGTCAGTTCTGACTCATAGCACCCCTGTATGAGTTTCCAAGGAGTGACTGGTGGGTTTGAACTGCCAACCTCATGGTTAGCAGCCCAGTGCTTACCCTACAGGGCGATACCAGGACTCTAGAAATATGTATGTTGTTGTTGTTGTTAAATGCTGTCGAGTCGATTCCAACCCATAGCTACCCTTTATAGAAAATATTAAATGGGAACCTGAATTTGGAGTCCTGGTATGGATCTGTAGAATAAACATTGGATGGCTAACTATAACATTGGCAGTTCAGATCCTCCGGTAGCTGCTTGGAAACCCTATACAGGGTTGCTATGGATCAGAACTGACTCAATAGCACTTAACAACAGCAACAACAATATGCTGTGCAAACTTTTACAAAAATACAATAAAATATTATTTAAAAAAAAAAGAAAACAAAGTCTTCTCCATTCCGGTGTGGGCTATAGGATAAGCACTGGACTGGTAATCGCAAGGTCAGTGGTTCAAACCCACCAGCTATTGCTATACAGGGCTGCTATGAGTAGAAACTGACTTGATGGCACTTTAACAATGGGAGGGAAGGACTGTGAGCTGGCAAGGGGGTTGCAGCCATAATTTACACGCCGAGAACAAATTTCTCCAAAGCAGTTCTCCAACTCTCTCCCCTTCCTTTATTTCCATCTCCTCCACCCACTGCTCCTTCAGTAGAGAAGCATCTCACATACTGTCTCCAAGCCCTCCACTTTTGTTTTCGGAGGCCCATTTCTCTTTATTTTGGAACCAACATGCGCTTACAGAGCTGGATCATGTAAAGTGACTAACTTGTCTTAGTTTGTCCACGACTTTCCTGGTTCTCACACTGAAAGTCTCACGTATGGGACGCTCCCCAAACCCCCAGCCATCGAGTTAATAGCAACTCTTGGTGCCTCCATGTGTTTCAGACTAGAACTGCTCCATAGGGCTTTCTTGGCCATCATTTTACCAAAATAGATCACCGCAAGATCTCCCATTCTTCCGTGGAACCAGAGTGGTTTGAAGTGCTAGTCTTCAAGTTAGTAACCAATCCCACACTGCTTGCACCACTCAAGGACCTGGAAATCTCTTGCTGTTGTTGTTGTTGTTAAATACCATGGA